CGAATTTTGAAGAAAAACAATTTGTTGGAGAAGATTGGAGAAGATTGAGATTTTTTTAAAAAAAATTTCGAAGTCTGGAGGAGAAAGACGAAGACTCAGCTTTTATTAAGTGTTGCGACGGATATTGCAGTCGCAACCCGTCGCAAAACGAAAAATAAACCGCGAAAATTTAAAAATTTTCATCGAAAATAGCGGAAAAAAATAAATTTAGATTTGCGACTGAAATTTCTGTCGCAAATCTGTCACAAATTCCAAAAATAAATAACATAAATTTAAAAATAAATAAAATTAATATTTGCGACAGAAATTTCTGTCGCAAATCCGCAATTTTAAAATTTCTGTCGCAAATAATGTTTGGTTCTGCGACGACAACGTTTCCGTCGTATTCCGTCGCAAATTTGCGACGGATTTTGCGACTAATTGCGATTGGAATAAAAATTTTCGCATTCCGTCGCAAATTCGTCGAATTCTGTCGTAATTTCTTTGCGACGGAAAAATTCCGTCGCAAATTCCGTCGCTATATTAAGATTTTCTTGTAGTGGCTTATCATTGATTCTATGTTTTTGATTCCTGTTTATTAGAATATTGGTATACATATATGTATTTGCTTTCCCTGGTTCCATGAGAATAGAACTCCGGGTTACGCCTGAGTTCACTCTCTAAGCAATTAGTTTAGGACGTTGTTACACAACGTTTCAGGTCGTGAGCAGCAGTAGACGAGGAGCGGACATCGGAGACCTGGGCAGTGTACCACTACCGATCATGTATAATTAGTATTTTGATACACTTATATTTTGGAAAACGGTTTGTGTTATATCGGTGGTAGACTTTTAAGGTTTGTAATAATATTATACTCCACTCGACTATGTATAATTATAACTGAGAATAATGTATCATAAATGTATATATGTGTGTTTCTTCCGCTAACTCTTAAAATAAAAGTTTTAAATTCTAGCGGATTTTTGGAACTGGATTTTATTTTAATTGTCCATGTGACGCAGCTCGTATTGCAGGATACGGGTTTCGGGCGTTACAGCATTGGTATTGTTGGGATTCGCTACGGGTTCCTAGCATGCGATCTCATCGATCTAGAGTTTGGTTTCTAGGTTTCATGCAGCGGAAGAAAAAGATCTAAACCTAGCCAAACGTCACACGCAACCAAACCTGCAAAACCCGACAGACCGTGTATATCACCGTGGGAATCGAGTACTTACCTCTTTCCGGGGCCTTTTTAATCACCTAGGACTGAAGTTACAGTCCCTCTATACGTATCCACACCGACGGGAAGGATTCCAAACGCTTTTGGAACCGATCTGCTAGGATCTGTGAAGTATATGAAGTGGGATCTAATCCTGAGAGCTAGAACTATTAATGAAACGATTTCTTCTGTGTTTTTGCTCTGTCTTAGGGTTCTTTTTGTCTGTCTTGGATTGAAGATGGCGTCCAATATCCTTTTTATAAGATAGGAACCCTAATCCTTGTGGAAAAGTGACTTTTTCCGAGTATTGACTCGGTCCGAGTCAGAACGAATCAGCCCAAGTCCATTGTCAACTCTTGACCCGGCCCATTTAGTATTGACTCAGTCCGAGTCAAAACTTTGACTCGACCGAGTCAAAACATCAGCCAAGCCCAAAACACTTTCTGGGCTTCGACTCGCATGAAACTGACTCGGTCCGAGTCAAATACTGACTCGGTCCGAGTCAGAAGGCTGAAAATGTCCCGACACTCTGATTTGATCCGAAAACGATTTTCCCGACCAAATCCAAGTCTTCCTTTCCGATACTTCACATATAAGTCCATCCCTAATGGTGTGTGACCCTGTAGGCCCATTCGCAGTGGCAGCAGCCTCGAGAACCATTCCCGATCTACAAGTCATGGTTAGCCTCTAGCAAGACGCCATGACTACCCACGTTGAATTGAGTTAGAGGTGATCTAATACAACCAACAGGTATCACAGCAGTTCCTTCCACGAGGAAAGAATGTGCTCGCATTTTCACTGGAATTTGGGGATGGGTAAAGATTGATTTTTTAAAGATTTTATAAAAATCCAAACATGATCACCAGGTCCCGATACTAAATAAAGTTTCTTGTCCGCAGTAGCCATGCCTCCAAGACGTGCTGCACCTGCGCAACGACCTGAAGGACCGAGGGCACCTCCGCCGAATAATGACATGGCGGAAATGAAACGCCAGTTCGCATTGTTCGAAGGGAACTTCTGGCAGTTTATA